GAGAAGAGCCACAGATTTCCTCAGCACACACTTTGCTCAGCTGAATGAGCCCCTTTCTTCATGTTTCTCTCCATGAGAACATTCTGTTAAAAAACCAAATCACCCCAGCCCATTTCTTTCTACCTGGTCCAAAGGGAATATTTTTTTTTTGACCAGGACAGAGGATTTGTGCTTCCACATAACTTCCTACCACTTTCACATGGCACCAATAATTTTCTGTTTCTACTGGAAATACCTCTCCCAATGCAGACTCAAAATACATTTGCTTTTTTCAAGGCTGAGGAAAAATCCACTTTTGTGGTTTACAATCATTCTGAGATTAAATACTGCTCTACAGCCTTTACCACCATCCTTCCAATACTCTGCTCTCAATATGCATTAAGATGCATATATAGTGTATATGTTACATACACACTGCAGTTTGTGCATTTTTATTTTAAAAATGCATTTGCTTTCAATTTGTGGAGAACTGCATTTCCATTTGTGAAAAACTGCATTTCATCCCATTTATTCTGTCCCAGCCCTCAAGGTCATCCACTTGTTCCTGGATGATTTCCCAAACTTCCTCTGTCAGGACAATGCCTCTCAGCATCATGGCATCAGCAAATTTTAACTTCATGAGCACACTGCTATGATTTGTGCCAAAACCCTTTCTGAAAATTAAAAAATACCAGTTTTTAAGAATGAGAGCTGAAGGTCCCTGCTTGCAACCCCATCTCAGCCAACCCAGCCCTTGCCACATCTCTCGAAGCCAGCCCCTGCTCACTTTCCAATTTCCTAACTCACCCCCATCTTCTTGTGTTAATAGATCCCTGCATGGACTGTATCAAATCTTCACTCAAGTCCAAAGAGATGAAATTCTACTGAATTTCCTTGGGGTAGAAAATCAGTTATCTTATCAAAAAAGTTATTAGATTAGCCCGGCAAGATCTATCTTTAGAAAATCTGTGTCACATTTTATCCCATTTTTTCCCTCAACAACATGTCTTTAATCAGTCTTTGCTTGAAAAAACATTCAGAGGCCTTTCACTAACAGCCTGGAATTTTCCTTGGATCATTTCTCATCCTTTTCAAATGTTGGGCATCACTATTATTAATCCTTAGAGTTATGGCATCACTCCAGGCTTTGTTAAAAATATTTCCCTCTGACCCCCTGATTTTGTGAGGCAGCTTTTTCTCATCATTGGAATCGAGGTTATTTGGTCATCCTGATTTGAGTGCATTAAGCTGCATAATTTTCTCTTCTTTTATTACTGTTTTTCCATTTTCATAACCTTCTTGCTATTATTTGTTTTTCCTTTTCCAACAGGATTTTCTCCCCCCAAACCAGAGGCAAAGTATTCACTAAAGTTCTTGGGTGGTGGCCTCTGTTGGCACTGGTGGACACATCTCACACGTGTTCCAGCATCTTTACATCCTCCAGGATTGCCACGATATACTGCCACCAGAAATGAAGCCCCTGACCCTGATAAAAGGCACAGCAGCCTTTGAGTTGAGCAACACAGGATGTTCCTCCCCTTCTCTGTTTCTCTGCCATCAGCCTCCAGCCCCCAGATGCAGCATGCACCAGTGATCCTCCCCACCACATGTCTAACACACTGGGGTTTGTTTCAAACAAACATCCCACAGAATGGAGGAAGGAAAGATGTGCAAAGAGCCTCTTGTGTTTAGCTGGAGCAAGGGGAAAGGGACTCCTTTCAGATGTGATGATGAGGAGAAGCCAACATCTGTTTGCAGCCAGATAGTGCCTGTGCAGGCTGAGCAGTGATGCTACCTTATTACAACAGAAAGACAGGTCAACATAGTTTTTACCACCAGGCCCCTTTCAGACAACAAATTACCTTCATGCCTTCAATAATAAAAGGTCTAGGATAGGTAGCAGAGTACCCCATTCACGATTCATGTTAGCAGAGAGCCACCTCACCTGACTACATCCTGCTGCCTCAGGTGGGTATAGGTGAGGCTTTACTCAAGTGTGCTGCTCCCACTGTGACAATATCCTGGACACAACTCGGCTTTCTGTCTCAGTGAGCTGTTGTGCATCCAGAATTCAACCCTCTGTGAAACCTATCTCCTTGCAAAAGGTGGAAACAACGGGTCTGCCTAAAGCTTTCACTCCTGGGGGAAGGTGAACGCCTACATCCCTGCTCATCTCCCAAAGCTGGCGAGAGGAAGAAACTTTCTGGGACATCTGCTGCTGTAAAATGAAAAGAGATCAGGAAGGAGACAAGCAGCTCCTGACTGATTCCAGCTTCCTTCACTCCTCTACACAAAGCAAGAGCAGCTTCTCTTTCAGAAGAGGAAAACATTGCAAGAAATTAAAGTGATGGGTTTCTTTAAAAGGCTCAGAAAAAGGGCAAAAGAGGAATGAAAGGCAGGAAGAAAGCAGGGATGATTTACAAAGCCACAGAACGGGAACCTCAGTGCTGGAATATGTGATTGTGCTGGGAAGTGTCACATGGATTTTCAGGGAGACCTCCATGCTGTAGCTCAGATAAGAAGCTGAACATTTGGGTTTTATCCAAACTGATCCTGAACTTCATAGCCTTTGAGATCTTGCCAATCTCTCCCTCTCTGCATATGCATGTTTTTCCAACGTGGAAGCTGATTTTGCTTTATCACTTGCAATGACAGGTTATGAACCAGCACTGTGAAATGATGCAGTGTCACCTGGGACCATGGGAACTTTTGGGTTCAGGTCTCTGTGTTTCAGGGACTAAAGAAGACTGCTACAAAAAGACTAGAAATTGAACCATTTTCAAGGTTCCACTTAATAAACCTTTCCCATATAAGGCACAAAATTTATCAAGCTAGCTGCACTTAAAATCCTCCAGCTTCCATCCGTCATGCAGCTTACTTGAAAAGCCATCCCCTGCCAAGTGGATGTATTCCCTCTCCCAGTGTTAAAACTTATGGAATTGATGCTCCTTGAGGAGTTAAGAATTGGAAAGGCATCCTCCCTAATAGGGAGGAGTGAAGGGTTGGTGTTTGGCTTATGAAAATCAGGAGTGCTGAGGGTCTGCTGGAATACAAATAAAAAATTACAGGCTGCAAAGTTCCAAATTAACATCCTGATGACTCACATTGCTCTTCAGAAAAGCTCAGTCTTCCCTTTGATCTCAGGATTACAGGCAGCCAGGGACTTATTTGCAGCTACGCAAAGAACCTGCTGCACAACACCAGCAGTAGGCACAGACCTCAAAATAAAACCCAAGGTACACAAACAGTCATCTGCCAGCACAGCAGAGAGATTGTCATTTTGGGACATCAATGGATGAATCCAGCCCCTGCAGTCAAATACAGGCATACTGCAAAGGCTGGTCTCTCTAAAATTTAGAATTTGTCTCAGGAATAATTTTCCCTTTTCATTCTTGTCTGGTTAATCTCAGGCTGTGCTCTTCAGGCTCATTCCTACTTTTAAGACAAGCAGGACAACAATCATTTGTATTCTTTATGAAATTAATTCTTGATGGCAACTTTAAACTAAGTGCTGATTTGTTCCCCATAATTAATACATTCTTCTGCAGTATAATACAAATCTCCACAAGTTCAAATTATTCTGAAACTTCCTAATAAAAACTAAAATTGCGTAACAGTTGTTGAAATTTTTTTAATATATATATATATGTGTATACATATACATACACACCGTCAAAATAAAATTTTGGGTCATATATTGTGGGTTTTTTTTAAACCACAGGTATTTTACTGTATCTACCTTAATTTTTAAGACAGAGCATATAAAATAGAAACATTATTGCCTTATTTGCAGTCCTACCTAAATACTTGGAGAGGTATTAAATTAATTGTGCCTTTTCAGAACCAAGTAGCAGGTCTTCAGACAGTGTGTAGTACCTGTATCTGTGAGTCCTGACTTTTCAGTAGGGACACAGAATGCAGCACTTCTGGAAACGAGGGCCATGGTGGGCACACCAAAGGGAAGCAATTACAGCCAAGGTTTGAAATCTGAAATGCTCATGATATGGCTTTTGAAATTCCATATATTTTTTCAATTAAAAATTGATTAGCTGTGACTATAAAAAGCCTATGTAGATCTGGAAGTGAAGTATTATACTCTCTGGTGAAAGAGCACGTCAAGGCCAGACTCAAGGGAAGGCAGCTGCTCCCATGCAGGTCACAGCTAATCATGTAAATCAGTCCTCTGCTTTCTGTGTTGCAGGAAAGAATGCATCTACTGCTGTATTGAGAGGCAGACTGCTGGAAATTGGGGTTTTGGTACATATTTTGAAGCAACAGCAGTGAATCATTACTGCTTTGGCAGATTCAGAATGCCTTTTCATACGAACATCAAAGCCAAACATATTCTTGACTCCAGAACAGTCCTAGAACGTACTTTTATCCAAGTACATAATAATAAGGCAAAACAGACACTAAAAACATATCCTGGCAATAAATACCTTAAGACTTCATTAGAAAACCAAAAGGTCACATCTGAGACACGAAAAAGTCAAATTATCTAGGCTGACATTTACAAGTAATTTGAGTTGACATTAGCATGAAAAATACAATTTTACTCTAAAAAGTAGTCTTACCTCTAAGTTTAAATGTGCCCTTAAGCATTAATGCTGAAAACAAAGCCCTGAAAAATATCTGCAGCTCTGCCAATTACATTTCGGTATTTTATAGCAAAGCAACATGAATCAGACAATTAGCAGAAGGTTTCAGCCCCTCATTAGCAAACAGAACCTAATAGGAAGAAGGAAAAAAAAAAAACCAAACCACCATGTAAGCTCCGATGAGCAGATTACGGGCTCGATCGAGCTGTGAGATAGTCAGGCACCCATTCCCACGCAACCAGCTTATCCACGGATGTGAGCAAATACCAGGAGCTGATTTTGCGACACACACGGTGAGCACTGGAGCATCCCTGCGCCTCCCAGGCAACAACAGAGCCCTGCGCCCACCCTCCAGCCCGCCGCTCCCCAGGAAAGAGAGACACATCCCGCACAAAGCAGCCCATCTGCATCCCGGGGACTTACTTCAGCTGTCGGGGCTCGCAGTCAACTCCCGGCAGCAGGAGCCGGGCCGCCTGCCGCACGTCATCGCTGTCCACCGAGAAACTGCGCCGGTGCCCCGCGTGAGCCACCGCCACCCGAATCCACTCCATCAGCGGAGGCAGCACGATGAACGGCCTGCGGAGCACACACACATCAGGGCCAAGGCACACTAGCAGCATCGCTACAACAGGTAGAGAGGAGCAGAGAGCAGGGGGGTGCGGGTGTGTGCGTGTGCATATATGCGTGAGAATATAAATACATACAAAGAGAGAGAACAAGGGTAAGAAAAGAATGGGAGAGCAAGCCAGCTCAGCAATTTTCAAATAGGTCTAAATCAAGATGTCTCATCCTGTCTCCAGGGCAGGACTATTTGGAGAGTGAGATTTATGAGCCATGCTCATCCATGGGGCTCTGTGAGTCCTCCCGAGTGGCAAGTCCTCCTCCCATCCTTCACATGTGCAATCCCAAAAAGAGGACAGGAGTCTGGCACAGGACCACGTCCCACTCCGGCTGATGCGCAGGCCTGGGTTCTCTTTGCAAGAGGGACAGGAGAACAGAACAGACCTGGGCAGAGAGAGGGGATGCCCCAACACTGAGATGCCAAGGATGGAGAGGGAATGCCCCAGGCAGTCTCCAGCATCTCCTGCTGATGCGATGGCACCTTGTGCTCAGTGCTGGAGTGGGGGATGGGATTTTGCAGCCAACGTGAAGGTTAGCTGTGAGCGAGGTCAGAAATCAGAAACCAGAGTGCTTGGTCTCACCTTTAGCAGTATCAAACTGCTACACCTTCGGGTGCCAGCTCTTCTGCCAAAAAACATACAAAAGTGTCCCCAAAAGTGAATGCTGGGATTCTGGGCCCACCCTCACAAAGTCTGAGCACTATCAGAGACATGGTCCTTCACTCTACAATACCTGGACAGCCCCATCTCCCAGCAAGAGCTGCCCAAGCTGGAGATGAAGCATGCAGCACACAGCTCACTCCATCTATGCTAAGAATTATTTGGGAACCAAGAGAAAGATGCCAAACCACAAATAAAAACCATAGCTTCAAGTCATGTTTCAGAGGAAAACTAATAAAGTAACTGCAGCTGAACACCTTGAAGGTCACTTCAAGTCTCTTGCTTGCCTTTCCTTCTGCGGTCCCTTTTCATGGAGGAAGGGGGGAAAAAAAGCCTGCATTAGCTGCAGAGTAGGCAAATATTTTACATTTTAAATGTACAACTTTACCTCAAAAAGTTATACCCTGAGAAAAATTATTTAAGAAGATGTTGACTCTGGAATATTCTTTTCCTATTTATAGCTCTTTATGCATTTATTTCCCTTTATGAGGACTTGGCTTTACATAGCTCTGATATTAATATTCTCGAGGGGGGATGAGAGCCTTCAGAAGTGCTGAAGGACAGAGAAGCCCTGAGGCCACTGACTCTCCCTAGGACACTGGGTTCCCAAATCTCACAGGCACGTAAATGAACAACCTCTTTTTGAAATATGACATCTTTGGCTGAGTTGCCACTTCCACAGTTTTTCTATTCCAACACATCACTGTCACCTCAAGACCAGGCTGCATTTGTTTCTAAGGCTTCTGCTCTCCCCAGACCTGCCACGGGCACATAAGGAGGCAAGTAAGGACAGAAGATCATCTCCCACAGCTCACACAAAACAATTTCCTAGCCCAGCTCATTTGTCATGGAGTGGTGGGAGCTAGAGGAGGAAAAGGGGGGAAGCAGGGATGTATTTGTTCCTGGAAGGTGACTGCTTCCCAGGTCATCTTCAGAGCAGAAGGGACCCTCTTTTGAGGCACAAAATACCTGGGAACAAGTGATCAGTGAGAGTTTTTTTCATCACTTGCTGAGCAGACAGCAGAAGGGAAGATGCAAATCACACTGTAAAATTGCATGTAGTTACAGATATAACTTGGTTCTAGGAATAAAATTAAAGGAAAACTCAATTCAAGGTTATGTTTTGCATGAGTGAACACAGTTTGGATCAGAGAAATGAAGACAGGCTTGTACAGCACCTTCCTGTAACATCTGCTGGGCAAACAGTAAAGCGGAGAGCTGGGGCTGAACAGGGGGCTCAGAGGTTCACACTTTTTCCTCCTCTTGTGCAGGACAGAAAGTCAAAAGTCTGCCCCACCACAGTAAGGAGCAGAGCAAATAAAACTATTTACAGGAACTCAGATAACTGCACTATAAAACTGCCTTTTTTTTTCCCTTTCCCAGTCTTGCAAATTTCAACAGAGAAATAGAAATGAGCATGGCTATTTGGTGCAATAAATCCCAAGAGGAAAGGGAATCAGTGTTCTGCAGAAGCAGGGAAATTTTCTATAAAGTCCAATTTCAGTCCCTAGATGATGATATGGAGTTTGCTCACAACATAATACATTCCTTTTTCCAAGGGAAAAAAATCATCACTGCATATCTCAGCATGTCAGGAAATTTGTATTTTGAGAAGAGAACCAAATATGGCTGAGTGCAATAGGTTAAAAATACCCTCCAAGAATCTGTGCACCATGTGAAGGGCTGGGCTTTTTCTTTTATATATTGTTTGTGTGCCAAAGAGGAAAGAGGAACACAGAGTTATAAGGGTGTGATAATCCACAAGACAATGTGACATCAGCAAGAAATATTTCACTTTTCAAACAGCACTGTGTGAAAATGGGTTAGCCAACTGCATCACATCACTGGCATATACACAGATTTATCTCTGGTACAAAGGCAGGTACCAACCAGGAGAATTCAGTAATTTTGTGTTCCAGAGCAGACACAGAGCACATAAGTCACCTAGTTACATGATTTGGAAGCACATGCCTTAATTAAACTAATCTAACCATGCTGCTCAGCTTGATTCTGCCTGAAAGATATGGGAAATCAGGAGCAGCTCAGCTGCTGCACAAGCACCTTACCTGGGCTGCAGGTGAGTGAGTGCTCTGACTTCCTCCTCCAGCACTTCTCTGTACCTGTGCTTAACTTTAAATGCATGCTTCCATCCTCTAATTCCATGCAGTTTAAGTTAAGCAGAGACTTAAAAAAAAAAAAAGAAAAGAAAAGCTTTTTGGCACAGACTTGTATTTTCCTGAGCTCACATCTAACTGGAAAAACATGCCAGATCAGGATGCAGGGAGAGGTCTCTGCATAGAGCAACTCACATCCCACACACAAGAGCTGGGGAGGCCAACACAAAGCACATCCCCAAAGGGTTGCACCCTTCTGGGCCCTGTTCCCCCACCCTTGGCAAGGGGGCAGCTGGCTCCTCTTGGGGTGTGCCTTCTCCTATTTCATCAGAAAAGACGATTATGAGTGCCCCACCAACCCTCACATCTCTGGTTCCTCTTCCCAGCAGCATCCTCCCCTGCTCCCTCCTGCCAACCAGCACACCTCTCACATCTATTTTTGAACAGCTCAAGGTCCCATAAGTTCCTATGCCTTGAAGCCATCTGCAGGTAGCGACACCCTGCTGGCACTGCCCCACAAGGGACAAGTCCTCCCTGTGCTGGCTATCAGAAGTCCTTGTCCCCGCTGCCTTCACACTGCAGCTCCCTGCCAGCACCCCCGCTCTAGAGTGGGGCAAACAACCCCTCCCCACCCCATCAGACCTCAAACTTATCTCGGTTTTGCGGGGCTGATGTCTCCAGAGCACTCTGAATTACAGAATGACTCATCAGAAAAGCAGATGTTATGGGGGGGGAGCCTAAATGTAATCATATGAGGGGTTCCCTAAAGCCTGCACTCCCTCCAGAGCCACACACAGCTTTCCTGGGCTGCCCACCACTCCCCCTCCCTTGCCTGCTGGCACACAGAGGTATTAAAAATCCTGTCATGCATATGCAATAACTCAGGCTTTTCCATTATTATTAGCAGTAGTAGTAGTACTGTTACTATTGTTATGGTAGCACTCTACCTGTACGTAAACAGGAGAAATTGTCAGGTGGAAGACCATGAGAAATTGTGCGCCATAAAATGCAATAGGATGCTTCATTATTTTTGCATGGGTCTGTGAGAAGATGGATGAAGCTCCTGTCTGGACACCAGCTGCTGTAATGCCAGATTTGCAAAGCACTAGGGCCAGCACTCTGACAAATTCCAGCTCCAAATAATCCCCGGCCCTGGTTTCTCACAGTTCCTACCATCTTTGCAGGGTGCAGAATCCCTGCTGGCTGCTGACCAGCTTCACAGTCCACCCTCTGCCCAGAGCAGGTCCACTACACACGACCACTCTCTCCTTGATTTCCAGCAGTTCCTCCCCTCACCAGCTGCTCCCTCTCCCCTACAGAGAGTGAGAACACTCATCACCTTTGAATGCTCCTATAACATAGGCTCACAAACCCTGGATGGGCCACCAGCCCCTTGTTCCCAGCAGAGCCTACAGCGTGCACCAGGTCCCAGAGCTCATCAGTGCACATGAGAGATTCCCAGACAATCAGAGTGCTCCAAGGAAAAAAAAAATCATCATTTCAAGTGCAGCACAACAGCCTCTTTATTTCCAGGGGCCTTCACACTGCTCTTCTCCAGACACCGATGGAGCCCTTGCCCCAGCACATGCACTCATTCGCTGCCTGTATTAAATCAAACTTTAGGGAGAGGACTGGCTTTATAGCCACAATGGGAAGAGAGAAATCCCTGAGGTACAATCCTATTGGATGTGAATTCCCACAGTTATCTCCTGTTGTCCCTGCCTCAGCTAACCCAGCTGTGAAGGGGACGCAGCTGAAAGACCTGACCTTGCTTTAACTTGGTTCAATTGCTACAATTGCTTCAGAAGACGTGTTTGCAGGATTCTTTGGCTACTGAGGAGGGTGGTGGTGCTGTAGGTGTGGAGTTTCTTCCCTCACTCCAGCCAAGGATTGCTGACTGCCAACCTTTATGGATACAACAGGCAAATTGGTACACAGAGGTCGCTGCTGTTTAAGTTTGCAAAAGCTACCAAGTAAAAGTTAAAGATGCTTCTCAGAAGCATAAGGCTGTATTTTTACATGAAAAAGCCTTTCTAGATAAAGGTAGGGAGATGTTTTTTCTTGCAGATGTGAGTCAGCAACTTTAACATTGTAAAAAGCTCTTTATATTTGTTTGGTTTCTTTATGTTTTCATGGGTGGTTTTTAAAGAAAATCCCAATATATGAATTGAGAAGCATCTTA